ACAGGAAGGGCAATCGTGCATTGGTCAGACGTCTGACCGAAGATGATACGGCTGCTTGTCCCTAGATTCCCTGCAAGCGCTCAAGTACCAAGATCAAACATTGTCAAAGGGGAGTCAGTATCTGCGCGTTGGAGGAAGAGTGACCCTGCTCCCCATGTGCACTTTTTCGGAATTATTATGATTTCTCCAGACTAAAAAGAGCGGTTTCAGTACATCTATTGCCGGAGTTCTACCCGTCCCCACTGCTGAACTTTAGTCATGAATCATGATCCTTGAAGTGAAGTTTATTCTATTATCACACGGGGCAGGAATCCCTACTTTCACCCCGCCTACCGAAAACCAAACTGCTGTTCATTCCTACAGCGCAGAAGGTAGCATTCCACTTCAGCCCTGTCCAACAACTTCTGGTCCAAATTGCCGAATGTGCCGCACGGCAGCAGTCTTCACGTGACGCAGGCCCCAAAGTTGTCAGTAGCGCTCTGTTGCTTTTTATACGAATCTAATTCCATGACGCAGACGGAGGGCAATCAGATCCCGTATCGCATGACTGAGGCTGTGCAGGCATAAAATTTCGCACAGCATAGCGCATAAGCTTATCATCTGCCCAATTCCCCAATTTCCATGAACGTCGCGTCGGCCTGAGTGCTTTGTAGCCGTATCGATAGTTATGTGAATTTATCGAATAATGCGTTTCCCCTTCCCATAGACGACAGTCTGCAGGTAAGCCTTCCTGTCGGCAAAATGTTCCCCTCTGTCCTCTCTGGAAGCCCGGGTGATCACGAGGATTCCTCAAAGCCCTGGAGGCACATTTACATGCTGGCTGCAGGAAGCGGAATCACACCCTTTCTGCGCGTCCTTCTGTATTATTCCCAGCTGTCCTTACTTGACAAAAAAGACGCAGCCGCCGCCGCCGCCGTTCCCAAACTGCGTCTGCTTTGGTTCAATCGAACTTTGCCGGACATCGTCCTGGGGGAGGAGTTGTCACAGCTTGTTTCTAGGCTCCAGCCAAGGTAAGATCCCGTGACTTCTTTTAATGTTTGCTTCCGCTCAGCTCTCTGGACAACCCATCTGTGACGTTAAATCCTGGCCGACTAAGCAAAAAGGAAATTGGTCGCGGTCAGAATCATACGTTCACTAGTCTGCGCTTTCGGCATCGTACAGTAGCCCACCTCTAGAGAGGTAAGGAAACACTGACAAATTGAAGCATTATGACGACACAAAGGCTGGTGTTTGGAACCTGCAGGTCATCGCAAGGTAGCATATATGGACAGAACACTAGACCAGCAATAATAGACGCGAGCTCACCGATCGCGTTGCGGAACTCGCTCGCCCTGTTGTGCCTTGGGGCTCTCTCGAGCCACTCTAGCATCCACACAGCGGCGCCAATCTCCCCTGTCCTTGTCAGTAATCTTATTCTTAATTGACTCATAGACCTCGACCGCACCACGTTCAATCTCATCACCTTCCTAGATGATTGTCCTGATAACTGAGAAATTGAAGGGTTAGTGCGTTCTGGGACTCAGAGCTGCAATTTGCGGTAGTTGGTCACCATGTCACACGGTTTATTTGTATGTGCTCTGAATCCCACCTTCCACCTGGCCTTGTCATATAATTTTCAGAACAATTATGGAACAACTATGAATTATTTTTCGGGGCCGAAATTACATGCTTTCGATACGTGGGAACGGTGTCTTACTTGGATTGAGGATGACTCGGGGCAAGCTCCTGCCATGAAATATTCACCTTGTGTGTCCGGGTTACTGACAGTCCTTTCACGGCGTGCCCATTTACACCCCCTGCTGAGTCCGAAACACGGGCATCCCGAAGTCCGAGAACCGGAAGACTCACATGACACCCGCCCCCATCCTCTTCCCCATTCAGCACTTGAATGGAGTACTAATTGTGCGGTGTAAATCCGCCATCCCAGCACGACATCATACCGCAGAAGTGGTAGCCCGCAGGTTCTCAAGTATGCTTTAGATGTGCGTGAGAACGTTTAGTTTCGCTTCTCGTTGCACGTCCTAACGGGCCCTGTGGAGTCAAAACCTATGCGCATACAGCCCAGTCTAGGCACATTCTTTAGGCCTCGCCTTTATCGCCATGAGCGGGTCTGTTACATTTAGAGCAACTTCATTCCAGAGTCATTTGATTCCAGCTAACTCCACTCAGTCAAAGTTCACTTCCTCTTCCAGCCCGTCTCCTCGTGCTATGTCTGTGCGCTTCTTACCCCAACCGGATGCATTTCTTACCGAATTGACGGCGTCTATAATTCTAACCAATGCTGTGTTCTCGTGCAGCGTGTAGTTAAGGCCTTATCAAAAACTCAGTCATGGGTAGTACAGCTTGCTGGGAGAGTTTTCACACTATAAGATCAATGCATACACAAAAATGCCTCTCAAAATCTGACTACCCCCACTCAGATGGCAACGCGAAGGGCTGGTCCGAAATGCAATTGTCCAATTTTATTGAGACCTTTTTGCGAGCTCAATGGTAATGTCAACACACTTCTCCCCCTTTTTTAGGTTGACCGTGCAGCACATCTTATCAGAAGAGGACGATGCGGGGGATCAGAGGCGACCAAATATCATTAGTGGGCGCCTAACTGAGGATCTAATGAGATCAATCATCGATCGTGAGCAGCACAGCCGCCTGCCCGACGCGACCCTCTGGATGATCTGCGGACCGCCTGGTTTCAACACTGCTGCCGTCAGGTGAACCTGGGTCGTTTTGTCTTACTGCATACCTTATAATCGGGCTCCCTATGTCATGTGTTTCCTCTAGATAACTGACAAACGCTGGCTAGGACGACCTATATCTTTACGTTCAGTGTTGTTATTGCAGTTAACTGTACGAACTTCCCTCGACTGTAGTGCCTAGTCGTGGCAATCCTCCGTGTTCAGTGGAAGATGCGTGCTATCGGCCTATGTAAATCCCATCCTGGCCTGCCAGAGAAGTAAGGTCCGCTGGGGGTGAACTCCTTCGTCCCCAGTAGCGACTTCTCTCACACCTCTCCTATGCCAGCCGCCGTTTGGAAATCGGATTCGGGATCTAGTGAACCATGGACTGTCGTTGTGAGAATCAGCCAGTGGTCGTCTAGCGTACAAGTGTAGTGGCACTTGACTAACAACACCCTCGTCAATTTCCAATAGAAGTTAAGTGTGAGTTGCCGGGTAGCGGCTGGGAAGATGAGATCGCCGGAAGAATACTGCACTATTATGTGTCTACCAACCTTACGCGCGACTGTCTGACGATGAATTCGGGAGAATGGGGAACGTCAGACGATCGTCCAACGATCGCATTTCCTCCCTTCATCTACGTTCGCGTCCTGCCATTAGTTGTCGACTAGCACAGTTAACACCTGTAGGAATTGGTTAGCGGCCTCTCTAACTGTGGTCTATTGGTCCTGTCAGTGACCTAAATAGCCACAATGGGTCAGGCGGCTGCTCCTACTACCATTCTTCTGGGCGTGTTTGATATGGCTCTCAATGCGACAACTAGAAACTGACAGTCATTCTCCACCGTCTGCTCTTAACATTTCCGTGACTATCTGCTGACCTGGACTTCAAAGCTATACGCTCCTCCTTAGTTCGGTGTTCCTCAGCCGATAGTTGGTAGCAAACCAATGGACGTTTTCTCGAAGAGGACAGCGCTTTCATGTGAAATCATGTTATCGGCTGCAGGTGCTGTTCACAACGAAGGCAACCACTGGTTGCCACGTCCCATATTCCAACAGAAGGGATACCCGGTGTTCCGGGCGCTTGCCTCATGAAGGTTCCTTCTGGCGTCTGCTATTCCGGCCGTTTCATCTTGCGAGGGTTTTGCATACAGCTGAAGCATTCGAGTTTGAGCAGCTTCTAAACTGCAGTTCTTGCCGTCGGAGAGCACCTGTACGGTGCCATAACTGCGACAGTGTTCTGTGACTTCTACCAGTTTTTTTTCGATACGGGTCTTCCAACAGACCTACTCGACTGTTAGACGAAATTGGAGCGGGTCTTGTCGGCTCGCACTGCTTTAAAATAATAATCTCGATCGTGCGTGAATATTTACCCTTTTGCCCTCACGCTCCTCGCTGGTCAGTGTCCAAGAAATATTGTTGGCCGTAGTCGGCGATGGCGAACTTCAGAATTTAGCTAATTCTGTTTGTGGGACCTTTATTAAAAATTTACTGTGCTCCTAAGACGGGCCACACAGGGGGGCTACGTCTGGGTCCGGCAGGCGTTATCGGGAATGCGGCCTCTCCCGTCTCAGGTTTTCTTGACTTAGTCATGACACCGAGCCCAGCTGGTGGAGGTAAGAGTGCGGTAGATGTTGCGCAAGTTTAAAATCACTATAAAATAATTCACGCGCAAGTCACCATTACTGCTCTTACTCTGTTGTGGAGCACACGGCGGACGTCGTCGAAATCAACAGTCGAACTGCTATCATGTGAGGCCGATCCCGCGCTGTACAAGTCCGCCTCACCATGGTACAAATCACACGCAAATCACTGCTGCTTCCACAGGCAATGGAACTCTTCGTCAATTTCCTCGGACCAACTACTGGTGACTTCTTACGTCTCCATAATCGTCCGACAGCATATACGCACCCTTGTGGTACGAGGGCAGCCCCACAACATGAAATATAGAATCTGCAGGCACAGTGACCGCTACTTCTCATATGTACGTGTCACATAAGACCCATTCACCGTGACAGCATCTTTACTATGGTTAGCAGATGAGAAAGGCGTTGACCGTTTAAGCGATGGATTTGCACTAAAGTCTATTATTTAATGCATTTGGAGCTGTCGTTTGTCTTTAGGAATTCAGGATTTGCATGCCTAAACAAACGATTTGGTTCTCTTCAGAATCCTGGAGACCTTAAAGGAGTATTCCAACAACGTGCACGTCCTCCAGGCTTGAAAACCCCCGTCCCTAATAGGCAGAATTGCAGAGCTATCCAAAACAAGGATTCCTTATATAAAAATACACTTCTGTTAGTCCACCTGACATTTCTACGTCCTTTTATGTTGGATCCTCGGCCCTATCACCAGTACTGTGTCCCCTGGAGTTGATGTTTTCTGCCAGTTTCATATACTTGGCCGACAGCTCTTCGTCCTTCTCAACAGCATCGCCGATGTGGTACGCACGCGCGACATTGCGACAGGCTAGCTCGTGACGCTTTTCGCAGGCCGTGACCCAGTACTGTAGGGCGTTCTTGCGCAGCTGCAGTTCGGCTTCCGAGCGTGGCCGGCTAACACTGCCTGACTGGCGTATGTCAGCCGAACGTTGGCGTTGCGCTCTTGCATAGTAGAGGCTGCCCAGGTAGTAGCTGCTTACTGGTAGACCACGCTGACTTCCCAATTTGAAGAACTCAGCGGCCTGGTCGAAGTTTTCGTTGTCCGGGATGACGCCATCCAAGAGCTGTTCACCGGCTGTCTGTGGGATTAAGGAAATAAATGCAGTGCAGTCTGACTTTTGTGAGCAGATGGTTGAGGGGGGGAGGGTCAGGAAGCTGCTGACTTATACGAGTGGCGCACCGGTGCTTACCTGACAGCATCTGGCATCTCCAGCAACATGGCAGCCAAACTTGAGGGCTTCGAAGGCCAGTTGCTTGTCTCGCGTGATTCCCTCGCCTCCAAAGAGTTTGAGAAAAGCGTACTTGGTGCAACTTTCGGGGAAACGTCGTGTAAAACAGTTATCGCGGTAAATGCTCTCCGCTTCCACCCAGTTGCGTTTAAAAGTCTCGAGCCAGAGTCCAAGAGAATGACATTCTTAAGGAAAGAATATTCGAATCAGGGTCTTTGGTCTGTTTTCCGGCATATAAAATTGTCAGGATATGAATGGAAGGACACAATTCGGAATCTTTCAGTTTTAAGAGCCAATAGGTCTTCGTACAAAGGAGACGGTTATTGGAAAGAGTTACTTTCTGAGATATTCCCGAACTGTATAATAGGGAAATAATATATCAATACGTTCCACAAGAATTACGTATAGGATCTTTCTCCTTTGTGCAAGCGTATCTGAATTTCAAACCCAGCTCGTCCAAGTACTCCTCCGTCTCCGCTTCTGACTTGAATGGTAGGAGGCCAGAATCATTCGGCCCGAAACTCATCTTTGATGAAGAGCATTAGCTTTGGGCGGTCGGTCTTTGCACAGGGTCCAGGCGCGTGGCGACGTCTGTCAAGACAGCATAAACTTCTAACTGAATGGAATTAACAGGAAAGTAGGAGATTATGTCGGAACAATAGGGGGTGGCCAGTGCAAAAAGAAATCTCCGTGCTGGAACCTATTCTTAACCCTACTGTTTAATTCTGGGCAAATTTGACGGTCTTAGACGGAAGTCAGATGGTTTGTCCGTAAAGGCTAATACTATGGGCGATATGACGAGTTAACTAAGTCCGTTCAACTATACAGTCTCTATGACATATTTGCGAGACTGATTTATGAGTAAAACGACCGTCACACTTCCTCGGCGTCGATGATCGCCTGCTTCGGGGGCTCGCCAAGAAGTTTTTTACTACTGATTTAGGTGCGACCCTAGATGCGGTACAGCCGCGAATTTTTGCAACCTAGTGATAGCTAAATTATGTGAGAAGTCGCACCGACCATAAGAATAGAAACACTGAGGTAGATATCAAGAACCGCCTGCATGGAGGCACAAAATGCACAACGGCACGCACAGGAAAAGTGGTGCAGAACCGCTATTGCCAGGCCATTTTCTTAGCTTTCCAGTACTTCCTTCATCCAAAGTTAAAAGTTTGCGTGGGCGGCTTGATTGTTATATCCGAGAAGCAGTTGTGCCTCGACCCAACAGAGCCGGTACACAGGACTTAATCGATTCAGTTCTCTATTTTTCCGTCTAAACCCGGATTCTCCCAATTTAATAAGGTCCAGAACCAATATCTGGTAAATTAATACATGATAAAGTTTTAGTGGCATACTGTCACTATCGTCCGATAAGTCTAACAGGTCAAATGCACACAAATGTGTAAAAAATGGTTTGTGGTCGGTCTTGTATGTCCATCAACCAAAAAGGTCCTTTAAGACAACAGGCAAGGCCGTTGATAGGAGCCTCGCAATAGCAAGGATGTAAACACTACCTTACTCTATATCAGCAACGGTGAGCGGTCGGCTTAGTATCGAAGGTGAGCATCGGCATCAGGTAGCTCCACTTGTGGGTGGACGATACTGGGTAGTTGTAATGACACGGAAGGGAAGATATTTATAGGCGAATGACTTGTTGTGGTGGCTTTATTTCAGTCTCATGGGGATTTTTTTGCGTTGGCGGGAGACAGTCGGCCTAGGATTAGCGTTAAGGACACGAGTCTTGTTAAGGTTAGGACCGAACACGGGATTATGGTTAAGGCTGAGGTTCGGCCTGATATCATGGCTTAAGCTAGTGTTAGGGTTGACGTAGATAATAGTGTTTGTATCCGACGCAACAAAACCCTTCCTAGAGAAGTCAAGGTTCCGAAGCGCTGGGCCGAATACTTCAGAACAGCCCTTAGCCACCAACCACAATCCACGACGCCGCCATCGACTGGCATCCTCAAGTGGAAACAATGTCCTGGACCTTTCGTTCTTCCAGTAACCATTAGGGCCGTGTGTTAGCTGTCCGGTGGGAAAGCACTGGAATCCGACGCGATCCCAGCAAAACTCTACAGTCGTGGCGGCCCTCGGCTGATGGACAAACTTACAACGATGTTCCAGATGTGGCGCCAAGAACAAGCTCTCCAGGTTTCTAAGGACGCGACCATCGTCCATCTCTACAAGCAGAATGGGAACCGGCAATTCTATAACAGCCACGGAGGAGTCTCACTGCTCAACACTGTCGGGAAGATCTTCGCTCACATGCTTCTCAACCACCCAAAAATCACCTGAAAGAAGGATTTCCCCCGGAAAGTCAGTGTGGCTTCCGGAGATACCGCGGAACGGCCGAAATTATCTCCACAGACTGGCAACTACAAGAAAATGCATACCAACCTCCACACAACCTTCGTGGACCCGACAAAGGCCATCGACGTGGTATATCGTGATTGGCTCTAGAAAATAATGCAGAAATTCGGCTGTCCCGAATGATTCACAAACATTGTGCGCCAGATCTACGATGATATTATGGCGCGCGTCACGGACAATGAGGCAGTTTAAAAGGCATTTGTAATGATAATGGGAATCAGGTTCGCACACTCGCTCCCACTCTCTTCAGTATCATGTTCTCTGCCATGCTGCTGGACGCCTATCGTGACGAGCATCCTGGGATCAGCATTGTCTACAGGACTGACGATGGCTTGTCAAGACTTAGAAAATGCAAAGCGCCCACGCAGACTTCAACAACCACTGTCCATGAACTGTTCACGAAGCACCGCGCCCGGCGAAAGCACCCATGTAAAGGGGCGTCAGCCTCCTCGCCTCCCGCTGCGATAACTTCACACTGACGATCAACACAGATAAAGGGACGATCATGCGTCATCCGTTGCCCAATACTGGGCACAACGACCCTTACATACCGGCCAACGGCATTCAACTCCAAACAGAGGACAAATTCGCCTACTTAGGCGGCATGATCTCACACAGCACCAAAATCACACCGAATCTCCAAAGCCGCCCAGGTCTTCGGCCGGCTACAGTCCGCGTAGAATCATCATAGCCTCCATCTCAACGCCAAACTCTAAATGCATAGGGTTTTCATGCTGACAACTCTGCTGTATGGAACGAAGACCTGTAAAGTCTACGATAAACAGCCGAGGAAACTCGACCATATCCGCCTCAACTGTCTTCGAAAACGCCGAGGCTGCGATGGTAAGACAGGACTTCAGGCACGGAAGTTCTTGAAATAGACGGAATCCTCAGCATTCACGTCCTGCTGAGGCAAATCCAACCAAACTGGAGGGGTCACCTCGCGGGGTGGATGACAGGCGCCTACCCAAGCGGGCGTTCGCCAACAAGGACAAAAAAGGGACTGCAAATGCACCCTCCAAAACTCCCAGGCACTAACAAATCGACCCAAAGACCTGGGAGAACCTCGCTGAGAATCGATCGGTAGAAGAGCTGTTAAGACCGGCACAGCAGTTTACGAGGCCAACCGGGTCGGTGCTGCCAAAAGGGCAGCGTTCGACCCAAAACGCCAATATCCAACCCCTTCCAACATGCCTACACTGTCAACGAACATTCAGTGCAGGGGTCAACCTCCTCGGCCATCTCTGACCACTGTAGCAACGACCCAATAACTCCATCTGCTGCTTCCCTAAACGTCCCTATCGTGAGCCCTGCGCCAACCACCACCATCGCCACCGATGATCGCGCTCCTGGTGCCCGACGCCTCAGCCCCCACCTTCTCTGTCGAATTTGACACAACAGCCGCGACGACCACTACCACCTCTCTAATTCTTACCACAGGTGTGAATACTCCAGACTCCTTGTCGACCACTACCCTCACCAATACCAGCAATACGGACTTAACTCCAACCTGTATTTACTGCAGTCGCAATTTCACCTCATGCATCGACCTGGTCGGTTATTTGCGAACCCTTTACACCGAGACCGGTGCACGAGTGCCAGAGGCCCCGACACACACACCCACCGCACACACTTCAGCTGTCCGCACTGTCCACGGGAAGACGAGTCGCCCGTTAGCCTTGCTGCTGGCTAGCCGGCGCGTCCACAGGTGGCGGATACTGGAACGACCTTCGGTGAAGGTTAGCTACGAAGTAAAGAGACCCAGTTCTGACGAATAAGCAGTCGCGGACCAGCAGCGACAGTGCTACCAGGGTGAGGAGGGTTGAGGTCTGGCACGCTGAAAGCCTTATAAAAAGGCCACAAAGCCCGATGACGTCATTGCGACATGGCGGCCATAAACCGCTATTAAATAAGTTTGCTTGCCACCGCTGCCTTGTGGTTAGGCTTTCAAGCCAAAGCGCTAGAACAAACGATCCCAGCGGCTGTTGGGGACCCGCCCGTATTCGAAATTCCCAAGAAGCCTCATGAAATATGTCCGTTCACAGTATTACGATCCATGCTACGGCGTCCGCGGAAACCGACGCGCTCCGCAACTCTGGTCCAGTGGTGCGCGAGAATAGTATGCGAGCTGGAATACTCAATCGGGGAAGCACTCTTGGTTTTGGATGCTGGAATGTGCGAACGTGCCTGGACCCCGGTACCCAAAGTCTGACCGCGCGCAGCCTTAATCAGTACAACGTGGATGTCTGCTGTCTGTCTGAAATTCAACTTCCTGACTCAGAAATAAAGATCCCAGGAGTGGAATCACACTTCACCCTGTGCCACAGCGGCGCACGCGAATCCTCTGGTAGACACGGTGTGGCGATCGCCCTATCGCAACAAGCGAACCTCGCGTTACTTGCTTGAGAACTGGTCAATGAAGGGATGGCCTACGTGCGACTGAAGGGTCACTTCACGAACATCTCCATCGTCTCTGTGTACGCACCAACTTCAGCTGTCGAACAGCGCGATGAGGAGGCGTTTTACTCGCAGTTGCAGGCGTTAGTTGAACGACTCCCTCGCCGCGATCCGCTGATCTTTGCCGGGGATTGAAATGGTCGGATTCGACCTGGCGGCTCCACAGTCTTTTTCGCCGATAAGAAAATAGCGAAAAATGGCTAAACTTCGCCAGTCAGAACCGACTGCATGTGACCAATACGTTTTCCCAGCATCGCAAAAAAACATCTGTTGACTTGGCATTCAAACGACGGTGATACGGCTTGAAAGTTCACCTATCATCCGCGCCAAAAATGCTACGTTCTAGACGCCTCGATATTGCAAAAATCCGACAAACTGGCATTTCCGAGGCCCTGAGCAGAGAATCTCGGTACTGTTTTACGACCCGAGCCAAAGGAGAAGGCAGTAACCAGTTGTCGTCATTAAAAACGTCAGTCTACGGGGCAGTTGAGAAGAGCCTTGGATATACCTAGCGACACCGTGGTGACTGGACAAGCGGAAGAACCCTGCAGCTGTCTGCTCAGACGGCTTGAGTCAGGTTCCGTAATGATGATTCATTCCACCAACTGGAATATGACGGCAAAGTCGGCCAGGGATGACCGGGAGCAATATTGGGCTGAAATAGCAACCTCCGTGGAACAGGCCTCGACCGTCTGTTACACTCGAAAACTCTACCAACTTATCCGCCAAGTTAGTGGTAAGCCCTCAACACTGAAAGACTTAGCTTGCGACGCGAATGACGGCTTCATTGTTGATAACTCGGTCAAAGTCGAGCACTGGCGTGAGTACTTCGAGCACCATCTTAAATTCGACATCCAACCCGCCTCGCCCTTTCTCTCCTCTGGAGCTGAGTTTCTTCCCTCCAACCTATGCAGTGCCATGCGACCGCCCTTCTGATGGAGAGGTCGCCGATGCCATACGCAAGCTACGCAACAACAAAGTACCCAGAGAGGACGGCATACCCGCTGAAATCTACAAGTCTCGTGTCAACAGTGGCGCTCTGGCTCCACGAGGTGAACAAGTGTGGAGAAACGGGATTGTTCCTAATAACTGGGGCTTAGGCATCCTTGTACGTATCCTCAAGAATGGAGATAAGACAAGATGCGAGAACTACCGCGGAATAAGTCTCGTCGACGTTGGCGCGAAGATTTTCACTAATGTCCTACTCAGGCGATTCCAGGCTGTGCGTGACTCTAGGACGAGGCCCAACCAAGCCGGATTTCGTGGCGGACGTGGATGCACAGACCGGGTATTCAGACTGAGGCGCATTCTCGAATTTCGCCTTAGCTATCAACAACTGACGGATGACGTTTAAATTCGTCTATCGTGAGCCCGCATGGTGGATAATGGCACTAGATGGTGTACCGCCAAAAACCACCGCCATGGTCAACACCTATTATCGCCCCACCACTGCGCGAGTCCTGGCCCACAACAATCTTTCTCAACTGTTTGGTATTCGGTCTTACGTTCGACAGGGGTTGTATTCTGTCGCCCATTCTGTTCAACTGCGCTATTGACCTGATTCTCGAGAGGTCCCTACACGAAGGTGACGGTGGTTAATTTGCACACGGACACCGACTGACTGATATCGACTATGCCGATGATATTGTCTTACTTGCTTCAAGTTTTAGTGATCTGCAGTCTATGGTGTCATGGGTGTCGATTACCCATAAACGCTGTTTTCAAGCTGCATCTCTGACCAGAAGGTATCTCTCAGGATCGATGGCTGTTAACTTGAAGTATAAGTTTTAAATACCTCGGAGAGAGGTTGCTACCGAATGGGCAGGGTAAAGGCGATATTGTCTCCCTCATTGATGGCGCCTGACGGGTTTTCTTAAGCCTTCGAAAATGCCTATGGATCAGACGCAACCTCTCCATTGCCACTAAGATTCGCGCGTGCCGTGCATCTGTCCGGTCTGTCCTTCTCTACAGTTGTGAATGCTGAGCTGTGCGCGTGAAGGACGAGCGAAAACTGGAGGTATTTGACCACCACTGCTTGAGGACCATCCTTCGGGTAAAATACACCGACTTCGTCTTCAATGTGAAAGTCCGAGCTCGCTGTGACAACATCGCAAGGATAACCCAGGCCATCCAAAAAAGACAAGTGAGGTGGTTTGGGCATGTTCTTTGTCGTCCATCCCAGGAGCTTAGTGTTACGGTCCTCGAGCCGGCACCGTTACCCCATTGGAGGTGTCGAAGAAGTCAACTCAGAACCTGGTTAGACACAATTCGTCAATACATGGAGGTTGCTCTTGGACCTTCGGTTTTTGGTCTCCGTCGTTGGCGAAGAGAATGGATTGAACTGTCCAGATCTGCTGCCGCGGATAGTCACGCATGGAGAGGGATAGCTCAGGACATCGAGGCCGGCCAGATCAGGCATGATCGCAGCCGTACCAAGTACAAGTAAGTGCTGTCCAAGCACATTCGTCCACCACACGGGCCTGTTCAGTCGCATGCGCACACATGAAAAACTGCGGTAAAACACCACCGGTCAAATCCAACCACGACATATCTCCTCACCAGCACACACACCGCACGGGAACCCGTCCCTCCTTACTTACTACAAGTACGGAATCGACACTCCTCGCGAGTGGGAATCGCGCTTTTTGGCCCCTGCTACTGTAGCACACGTCAGGTCCGAGCAGTCAACTCACTTTGTATAAAATTTTCGTGTGTGGGGGCCGGGTCGTATGTGCCACCCGCAGACGCGCTGTTTTTAGTTGTCAGCCACTTCGTCCAATCCCCGCCTTAGACACCTGACCGGCTCTGATAGTGTAGTGGTGCCAGAAGAGGGAGGTGGACCTCCGACGCGTATGCCCCATTTTAAGCAATCCAACGCGCTTTAATCCATCGTGATGGGCAAAAAGTTATAGCTTGGATGACTGTAAACCGACGGTATAAGTCGGCCCTCCTCTCAGGACTGACAGTCAGGCCGCAATAGCCCTTATCGTGGCCTCAATAGCACTACCACTCAGCTGGAACCCGAGCCGCCCCCCCCCCTCCCGTTTATTGTGTGAAAACCTGGTCCACGTCGCGCGATCCACCTGTGCATTAAGCCGCCTCCAGTCCTGAAGACTCCAGTGGGGGAGGAGAGTGCGGCAGAGGGTGCGTAAGTCTGTTAGCACTATAAACTAGTTTACGCGTATGTCGCCGTCTCTGCGCCCATCGTCCTGTAGCCACACGGTGGATATCGTCGGAATCGACGTTCTAACTGCCGTTAAGGCTAGGTTCATGCTCGACTTTGATTGATGGCTGTAACTGTCCAGGTTGACTTAAGTTAAAGCCCCCTGCGTAGTACTATTACAATTATACTTGAAGGATATGTTGCAGTTTTCTTGATGACCTTGTTGAAGATGAGAAGCTACCGTCCGGGAAACTCATCGTAATACTGCGGTGAAACCGGGCCAGAAAGGCATTTCCTTCTGCTTAGAATAGAGAAAATCTGTGTCTATGCATTGGGATGACGGTAGTGGATTGTGTAAACCGCACTAGTTCGGGTGTTCGTGATTAGGAGTCTTAGCCACAAGATCGAGTGAAAAATTGCAGTCTCAGTCGTCTTGTTTATCATTTTTTCGGCTGTGGTCACATTCCGGGTACCCTTAGTTCAGTCTCTTGTGTTTTAATTACTTCATTAATTAACGCACGTTAAGTGAGTAAGCATTTCGAGAACGACCTTCTCCACAAAAGCTCGAGTTCGACACGACCGTGTCGTTCACGAGCGACACACAATATTTAAACAGATGTCATGTGTGACAGTGAGATCAATTAGACAGTTTTATAGTCCTCAATAGCAAGCTCAAGACCACCACCGCTTCCCAAAAAAGAGAACGGCGAAAGCACGCACCAACGTGAATTTCGAAATACCCGCACAGACTTTCCAAAAGGATAGACAGCCAATAGGAGTGCAGATTTGGTTTGGTGAGTCCGAAGCCCTAATAGTGTCGTTCATATTCTCTTAAGCAAATAGTCTTCTCATATTTGACGATTATGGACCACAACAGAACAGTGAGGATTATAAGAACCAGACTGATAAAGCCTTAGCATCTTAGGATATATTTTGGGCGTTATGTGCTCAAGAACTCATTGATGAGGTTGGCCGATTATACTACAACTAAGAGTTTGTCGTCAAACACGTAAAATTAATGTTGGGAGGACTCGCTCTTCCATCTAGAACCACCACCACACAAGACATCAGGAAGGCAAAGGTGCTCAGGAAGTCACTGTAACGTCCAAGCCACAACCAGATATTATGTTAGGATCAGTTGTAACAGCCCAAGCAGAGCATAGAGTTCCCACCTTGCTCTGATAAGTAATTGATTACGCGTCTGGTAGAAAATTCCGGACCTAGTTCGACACACGGACCCAATCAAGATCGCAGACCTGCATACCTGCTAAATCTTACCCTCGATCGTTTTGTGTTCGCCCTCTCTTTCCTCGCTGTTGCATTTCGTTTTCCACCTTCAGTGTTTTCCGGAGTATAGAACAGTTCAATTTATTGAGGGAAATAGATGTAAGCCTTTGAGTACCTAGTTGAAACGTAAAAATATGCGGTATACAGAAAACGTTCTGGGCTGAAATAGTTCAAACGACCCTAAAATGATAGGACAAAATGGGAACGAGTTACAGGGGATGAGCTCGAATCTCATCGCTCTTGGTCATTTTGGAACATAAATATGTCAAGGTTCTTTTTAAAACTCTATTACTATGGTGAGATCACAACATCTCCTTGAAGGGTATTCAATTCAAAGGTTTAACACCTATATTTCCCTCAAAATAAACTGAATTGTTTGACCACTCGAACAGAGAAGGAGAACTTCCGCACATCCAGCCTTGCCTGTTGAGTGCGCAGTTTAAACGGGTGACCTCGGAAGTTGGTCGTGGTAGCAAATTCAAAAATGTCCTCGAAGGCCAAATTGCAATCCAACCCCTTTACAATGCGGAAGGCTTGCAAGAGATCTCCGCGAAGTTGTCTGTAACTCAAAGGAAAGGGGCTCAGATTTACTAGGCGGGTTGCATAAGGAAATGAGCTTTGACCTCTAACCATCTTCGTAGCTCTCCTCTGAACTCCTTCCAGGCAGTTTTGGTCTACAACCGTCCACGGTCTCCAGGCTTGTATGCCGTCCTCCAAATGCGAGAGGACGAATTTTCCAAATGTCTTTGAAAAAGCATCTTCGTCAAAGTCCATAAACGCACGCTTGATGGCGTACAGTACGGTCATTGCGCTTTTTGCCAATCTCAAACAATGAGCGGATGGTTTTTAGGAACCCATCGTCAGCACACCGAGGTCCTTTTGGGATTCGACCTCTTGTAGCGCTGTACCGCCCAGAATGTAGTCTCTTATGCTGCCGGATTCGGTTGTTTTACCTAGGCGAAGTATGCTACATTTACCAACGTTGGACCGCAGGAGCCAACGGTTTGACCACTTCTCCAAACGATTTAGGTTCATCTGCAGTCTGTCTTTGTTGGCGGAGACCTGAATTACACGCCATATCTTCATGTCTTCAGTAAACATTGCTACTTCATAGTCTAAATCTTTTGCGGCATCGTCCACGTAGATAAGGAACAAAATGGGTCCCAGTACTGAACCCTGGGGGACACCACTATCGACCACAGCCGAATCAGATTTTCCCCAACCGATGCACACAACTTCGTGTCGACCCAATAGGGAGTTTTCGATCCATTTGAGGAAGTTGTCACCGATCCCTATTTTTTAAAGTTATGTAAAAGCCTCCGATGTGGTACGGTGTCGAACGCCTTCTGGAAGTCGACGAAAGCTATGTGGACATCGTACCCGTTGTCAAGAGCTCGAGTCCAGCTCTGGAGAGATTTTAGCAAGTTTTTCGTACAGGATCTTCCTTTCCGAAACCCGTGCTGACATTTTGATAGCAGGCCGTGAACTTCCAGGAAATGTATCAGTTTATTTTATATGATCCTTTCCATAACTTTGCAGAGAATATATGTAAAGATTATGGGCCTGTGATTTGTCGCCGACGCCCTGCTACCTCCTTTGTGTAGCGGAGTAATATGCGCCAGCTTCCAATCGATAGGAAGGGTTCCGGTGTCAAATGACGTTTGAAAGAGCATCGACAAACGCACAGAAAGCTCACTGGCAAGTTCCTTGAGAAGCTTGGGTGTAATCTCATCTGGTCCTGGTGACTGCGATTCGTTCAATGCCTCTATTTCTCTTCGGACAATGCTTTCTGAGAAGAGTATATAACTGACGCTTGGGGTCGGCAGTTCTTCTGTGTATGGAGGAAGGAACCTTGCCTCGTGTGTGTAGACTGATTGGAAAACTGTGAAAAACACAGCCTTATCCCTACTTTCAGCAATCTCAACACCCTCAGTAGTCCCTGTTAAGGGGATTTGATTATTCTTCCGTGTACTTCATCGGAGGTAGCTGTAAAGTAATTTTGGGTTCTTCTTTGCCTTTTCTAGCAATTTCTTCTCGAATTCCCACCGCGTCTTCATGCTCAGGTTCCTCAGTTTGTTCCTCTGTGTCTTGTAGGTGATGAAATACTCAACTCGCCCAGTGACGCAGTATTTTCTCTACAATTTGTGTTTCCTGTTGACCTCTTTCTTAAGGTTGTTATTTGGCCACCCAGGGCGTTTGTCCAGTCTAACGCTAATCAGTGGGAAGTGGTTCTTGATGAGTTGCAGAAGGACATTCTTGAACAACTCTTAGTCATCGTTGGCATTACCCGTAAACAATGAGCCCCAGTCGAGACCGGGTAAGTTTGCCCTCATTTCATTGAAGTCGCCCCGCAAATCATTGTGTCTTTTTTGCCTGGAGCATGCGATATGGAGAGTAACGAATAATCCCAAATCAGCACTACATGTCACTTCAGCCAACGGGCGGAATGGAGGCGATCTGGTCTATGCAGTCTGATGTATTCGCAAAAGCCAGATCCAGGAAGTTCGCCTTTTGTCCTTCACCTCTTTTCGTTGGAAACATTACATATTGTGTGAGGGGCGTCTTTAATGTTTTGTTCAACAGACGGTCATCAAATGCCGATTTTGGACCGGACGCATGGAGGGTGTTCCAGTTAAATCCTGGTGCGCTGAAATCTCCCATGGTTATGATAATAATAATAAATTTCATTAAAGATCCGTCGGGGTCTCATCAAAGAAAGTAAAAATAAATTTACATGCGAATTTTAAACGAGGTAGGCAAAATCTGTACAAAGTGAAATTCATAGTTTTTGAATTAGTAATCCGTTAAGAAAAATGATTAGCGAGAGGTAAAAAACAAATCCACATGAAAATTTAAAAATGATTGTATTAATTTTACAGGGAAAAACCCTCGCTAAAAAAATAGAAACGGAAAAATGCGGACAGGACTGGCCTGCATGTGACAGTATATAGATAGATAGATAGATAGATAATTTTTATTAAAGACCCGTCGGGGTCCCATCAAAGCAAGTTAAAATAAAGTTGCATGCGAGTTTTAGACGAGGTGGGCTGAATCTTTACAAAATGCAATTCATAGTTTCTGAATTAGAA